CCGTACGACGTACGTCCTTGGCAGCGAAAGGGTTAAACATGTTCTGGTATAAAGTCAACATATGTTCTTTCTATACTCATTTTAGCAATATTTCAATGAATATGTAAAGTAAAAACAATCCTGTTAAATGTATTATACATATAGATTTAAGTCATTTCAAAATATTTTGTCTGTCCCTTTCATCATGCTGGAGATACTTTTAGTAAACATGACCAATATTTTTGGAAACCACAAAAAAAATTAAAATTAATAACTCATTTTAGAAGCTTAATGTCCTTTTTTCACAAAGAAATGTCAACAGTTTACATAGATGGCATTAATCCTCAAAAAACCCTTACCCCCATCAATACATAAGCCTCTGCCTTGGCTTCTTCAGTCTGGGGAAGATGTAGATTCATTTCATCACCATCAAAATCAGCATTGTAGGGTGTGCAGACACATTCATTGAAGCGGAAAGTTCTGTGCGGTTTAACCCTGGCCTGTGTGGAGTAAATGTAAGAAATACGCATTTAAAACAATATAGATTCTAAAAACAACTTGCTCATCTCAGTATACCAAATATATCTGTATTGGCACCAGGTATGATGCTTGTACTTTACATATTTCAAATTAGATCAAATAATCAAACAGGGTCATAAAGAAATGTTCACGTTTAGCAGGAGCAACTTACCCCTCCCTATCTTATACAGATGAGGAGAGCGGAAGTTGTTCTGTAGCCATGTCCTAGGGTGATAACGCTGCTTTTTCACAGATGCAGTACAGTGAGTTTAAGCGTGATCATCCTAGGCCAGAAAATGTTACTACGGTAGAAGAATAAAGGAACAAACTCTGAAATAAGAAAACTAATGCAGCCACCACGTCTGAGGATGAGTAAGGGGCAATATAGACCGTATGACATGTTTTCTTGGATTTAATTATGCTTTAAAGCAAGCATATACAATTATCTGTGCTACTCACTATATGAGCCATGATGCTGAGCTTGTGCAGCGATGGCTGCCGATTAAATAGAACAATATCTCCATCTATGAGGTGCCTTTCCACGATGTCTCCAAATCTTAGCTCCTGAGCAATCTTCTCTCGGTTACCATATTTTAGAAACCTACACAAAGAAAGATGATACACCTTTAGAAACCACAAATGCCTATAGACTTCCTACACCTGCAATATCATCATCTCAAGATCTAATAAGCTTCTGTTTATCTACAAAAACTTGTACATGGTATTAAAGAGGAACTTTACCCATATTTTCAAAACAGCAAAGGCACCTTACGAAATGTTTAGGTATAATAATCTACAAAAAGATATTTCTAGATAATTGCCGGCTTTTTATTTTTTGCATACCTTATTTTTATTTTCTTCCCATTCTTCCTAAAGTGGCCATTTTAACTAAGGGCAGGTTACTAGATCTCCCTTTACTTCCTGGAACTCTGACACTAAGACATGTGACCATGCACATCACTCTCAAGGGAGGAAAATGCTTTTCCTTGAGATCTCCTGAGATTACAGATGAGATTTTCCAGCAATGATCTGCTGATGTAACCTTCCCAGGATGCAATGCTTAGGAACAATTACATTTGTGCCAAAGTGAAAAAACAGAAAATGTGATAAAAAGGTTTGTTTAGCTAATGAACGCAAGATAATTTCATATCAGCATGCAGAGCTGTAGCTGATGTGATTTTTAACCAAAGAGGTTAAAAGGTTCACTTTAATATCTTTCTATATACTTTTCAAGTAAAACAGGCAGACTAAATACACATGCTGTCAATGCATCCATATGGCGGGCCCCTTTTTTAATATAGGCCAGAACATTTTTTCTAACCTCTTGCCGTCCGTCCGTTGTAAAAAAACGGACGGACGGCCCTGCAGCATTGGCGGGTTGCCGTCTCCAGACGGCAATTTTTTTCTGCTCGCGCGCGCCCCCTAGCGGGCACGCACGGGCAGAGAAGACCCGACCATTGCACACACCCTTTACCGGGCGTTTCACATATAGGCGATCAGCGGCTCCATAGCCCGTCGATCGTCTATATGTGCTCGTCGCGTCCTATGTTATCCCCCAATATAATAGCAATAACAATAAGTTAAAAAAATTACAGCATTAAAAAAAATAAAGAAGCTAAAAAAAATAAAAAAAAATAACACAAACAGTCCCCCGCCCCGCAGATACATGCGCAAACATGCGTCTGGCGCGCCTATGTACGAAACCGACGATTGCGCCCATTATGCAGCACATGTTACATATCGCCGCGAACGTCGCAGTGAGAACAATAATTCTAGGGCCATCAATCACTGATGACACTAAAATGATGAGCGGTAAAAACGTTTAAAGCGTTGCATGACGGAATAAACATCAGTCAAAGTACCGCAGCGCTGAATACTGAAAAATGGCCTGGCCAGGAAGGGGGTGAAACACTATGGCCTTCAAGTGGTTAAAAAAAATACCCCCCGTGGTGATTATATACCTGTGGACCTCCAAAAGAAAGCTCTATCTGTCCCCAAACTTTAACAATTTTTGACTGACTGGTGAGACACTATCAAATGTTTCAAGCCCTTTATATATACGG